GGAGTTAAAAGCGCTGGAAGACAGAAACACCTGGAAGATAGTACCCATCGGAGTGGCACACAACAAAACCGTCCTCACGGGAAAGAGGGTCTTCCGTGTGAAAACGAAAGCTGACGGGACAATCGACAAATTCAAAGCGCGATGGGTCGTACGTGGCTTCGATCAAGAGCACGGGCGAGACTTCACCGAAACTTTCGCGCCAGTCAGCCGACATACCTCCTTGCAAATTCTCCTCGCAATAGCCGCCATGAAGCAGAAGAAGCTCCGCCAAATCGACGTAGCCAACGCGTTCCTCTACGCTCCCGTTGACGCCGAAATCTTCGTCGAGCAACCACACGGGTCCAACACAGACCCTAATCAAGTCTGTCAGCTGGTGAAATCCTTGTACGGCATCAAGCAAGCTCCGCGGCCGTGGCAACGGTACCTACACGCCCGACTTATCCGCATCGGCTTTCAGCAATTACCACATGACCAGGGCATGTACAGGCTCACAAAGGAAGCCGAGTACATTCTACTCATCGTATATGTAGACGACTTACTCTACATAGGCTCCACTGATGTCATCACCAAGTGGTTTGTGTTAGAAACAGCAGTTGAAAGTTAGAAACGAGAAAGAGAGGTTTGGACTAGCAAGCAGTTGAGTACATATAGCAAACCCTAAGTTGGGCTGTACTCACTATTGAGTACCCCACTGCAGGCTAGACAAATAGTCTGACAGTTTGAAGGGGAGCTGCAACAGGACCTCTCACTCGCGGTTTCTTCTACCATGGCCCAGTACCTCGGACTCAACATTCTAGACGGGGAGAACGCGATTTACCTCAGCGCCACAAAATACGTCGACACCATCGCAAAACGCTTCGGACTGACGCCAGCCTCCATTTCCACGCCCTACCGCTACACCGCGGGAAAACACCAGGAAAAATCCAACCTGCTTGTAATTGCCGGCCTACGCGACTACCAACGAAAACTGGGCTGTCTGCTCTTCACAGCCGTCACCTGCCGACCGGATCTATCATACTCAGCGAGTCAGCTTGCTACCCACCTCAAGCGGCCCGAAGCAGAGCATATTGCCGAACTCGACCGCGCCTTACACTACCTCGTCAGCACGCCAACGATCGGCCTAACCTATACTGTCAGAATCGTGAAGGAAGGAATGAAAACAGAGAAGAGGGTTTCACTAGCAGGCAGTTGAGTACATATAGCAAACCCTAACAGGGTTGTACTCACTATAGAGTACCCCACTGTAGACTAGAGAAATTACACATTCTGACACACCCCCATAGTCAAAGTGGGGTATGATCAGCACAACAAGCGGCAGTTTATAGTTCACAAATATAAGCAAAGCTAGAAGCTATCACAGGAGGCAAGTGTGGAGGAGGAGGGACTATGCGAGGGGAAGAGGTAGTGGGCGGCAGCTGAAGCTGCTGGCACACGGGCAACCGGAGCAACTGGCACACTGGCAACTGGAGCAACTGGCACACGGGCAACTGGAGTAACTGGCTCCGCGGCTAACTCTGAGCGGCAGGAGCAACGGACCCACGGGCGACTGGAGCAACGGGCTCACGGGCAACTGGAGCGACGGGCTCACGGGCGACTGGCACAACGGTCTCACGGGCGTCTGGAGCTGTTGGCTTCACGGCGACCACCCCCCTTCAACCTCCCCCAACTGTCCCACCCTGCTTTCACACACCCCCTGCTGCACCCCTAGCTCCAATCCCGTGTCACCCTCCTAGCGCCACTCCCTCGGCTCCCACACATCCACCCCCCTCAGCGGCAGCTGCAGCAGTGGGAGACGGAGGAGGAGGAGGAGCAGGGGACGACTCACACACCCGCCACCCCCATACCCGCCACCCCACAGGTGCACGAGGACAGGAGGCGGCAGGGGCGGCTCGCGGGCTGCAGGGGCGGCACGCGGGCTGCAGGGGCGGCACGCGGGCTGCAGGCAGAAAACGTCGCGCGCCAGGGGCGCGCGACAGGCACTACAGCAGCGGAAGCATCGGGTGGGCCCATCCACAGGGTCGACCAGAGAGGGTCGGCCTGCTCTGATAGCATGTCAGAATCGTGAAGGAAGGAATGAAAACAGAGAAGAGGGTTTCACTAGCAGGCAGTTGAGTACATATAGCAAACCCTAACAGGGCTGTACTCACTATAGAGTACCCCACTGCAGACTAGAGAAATTACACATTCTGACTTATACCACAAGACCGGAACCACTATTCCAAAACTAATCGGCTATGTGGATGCTGACCACGCAGGCGATTCTGACAACAGGCGATCGCGTACCGGCTACATCTATCGACTTGAGCCCGTCAGACCTATCTCGTGGCAGTCGAGTAAACAAGAACTAATTGCACTCTCCTCTGCTGAAGTCGAATACATAGCACTCTGCTCAGCCACCAAGGAAGGACTGTACCTTCACGAACTACTGGAAGAAGCAAAGCTGGCCCAGTTACCCAGCTTCTCCCTCTTCTGCGACAACCAATCTGCAATTCGCATAGCGAACAAGAGCGGGTTCGCGAACCGAACGAAGCACATTGCCCTACGCTACTTCTTCGTGAAGGATGAGATCGAGAAAGGAAGACTCGAGCTATCCTACTGCCCCACGTCCGAGATGGCAGCAGATTATCTGACCAAGAAACTTGGAAATCATAAGTTCGAGTACTGCATGCTGCTGACTGGACAGGGCCACGTCGCCAGCAACGAAGGCGATGACACTCCAGAAGCGAAGGGGAGTGTTGGAAACATTTAGTTTACGCTTCTGAAGTATCGAGCTCTACAACAAAAGAGAAGCACACTCACAGCGAAGCAACACCGAGTCAACCAAAGCGGTTGACAAGGCGACAACAGCAGGAGGTTGAAGCGAAAGTCAAAGGTCAGCGACCTTTGACTTGACAAAGGCAGCGCGACAGCAAGGACAAATAACTGACTCGCTATTGAGCAGTTACCCGAGTCGTCGTTGTATCGAACTGCAACAGCAATTACAGTTAAACCCTTCATATTCCTTGTAATCATATAAAACCTTGTATCTCTTTGCTTTAATCAATTCATCTTGTTCTCACATACTAGTACAAGGTGGTTCACTCAATCCACTATAACGCTTCCGCTAAATACATCATCAATCTGAGAGTTTAGTCTTGAAACGATCCTAAGGACTTTTTCAGCCCAACAAATGTCACCTTGTATAGTGCAAGGTTGTCCCTCCCTGCAGCAAATGCGGTCCCCTCAAATAGCAGGTTCAAGTAGTGTTGGTTGGATGTTGGAGCTGCAGGGGAAGTCATGTTGTGCCGGGCTTACATGGGAGAGCATGTTATACACTATGGATATGTTATGTACAAGAGCATTGTACTATCACAATATAATAGATAATCTCCATCATCACAACAACCTCTAATGGCCCAGGTACACAATTCAGACCAGAAATCCCTCGGTTCTATTTACGGTAACAGAATGTAAATCCCCAAGCTAACCTGTTACTATAGAATTACAGTGGTTATCTAGTGGACATTGCAGTTATACGGTAATAACTGCACTCGCTTTGGATTTGTTTGAAGATGCATCAATTATACACCACAAAACAACTATGGTAAGGTAGAGTACCTGTAAGCAAGTACGGTACCATGTTGGCTGAACAGGTAGAACGTTTAAACACATTCAGAGAAAAGTGTGTGTTCTGTGTGCCTTGTACCGTATCTAAACCGCCGCCCCACCATCTGAAGCCCCACCATCAACGGTGCCGCCTGCAACACCATCGCCTGCAGCACCGCCATCTGCAGCACCGCCGTCTGCAGCACCGCCGTCTGTAGCATCGCCGTCTGCAGCACCGCCGTCTGCAGCACCGCCGTCTGCAGCACCATCAGCAATGCCATCACCTCTAGCGCCATCACCTGTATCGCCATCACCTGTGACGCCCTCTACACCTCCATCCACAGCGCTGGCACTTTTCTCCCCATCTTCTGTAGCACCATTGTCTGTAGCACCAGCGCCTGTAGCACCATTGTCTGTAGCACCACCGTCTGTAGCGCCGTCAGATGTAGCCACAGCAGTCTCAGAGCCATCGGCTGTAGCCCCATCATCTCTACCACCATCACCTGTAGCGCCGTCAGCCATATCAACATCATCTGTAGCATCACCAGCTCTAGCGCCATCAGCTGTAGCCCCATCGGCTGTAGCCCCATCAGCTGTAGCCCCATCAGCTGTAGCCCCACCAGCTGTAGCCCCATCGGCTGTAGCTCCAGCATCATCTTTACCACCATCACCTGCTGTAGCACCATCTCCTCCATCCACATCAGGTGCAACAATCCTTTGCCCCATGTTGCGACCCTTCAACTTGCTCAGGTGCAACAATCCTTCTTAACTCTCCGCCATCACCTGCTGCTGTATCATCTCCTCCATCCACATCCACATCCACATCCACATCCATTGAGTCCTTTGCCTCATGTGGCTTACCTTCAACATGCTGAGGTGCAACATCATTCGTACCATCATCGTCTGCTTGCTTTTTAGGCTCAATAGAATAACCTATAACCGGCTCTCCTCTTGACTCCCCACCATCACCTGCGGTATCATCTCCTCCATCCACATCCGCATCCGCATCCACATCCACATCCACATCCACATCCACATCCACATCCACATCCACATCCGTTGCGTCCTTTGCCTCATGCTCATTGCCTCCCACATGCATCGGCGCAATCGCTTTTGACTCCCCATCGTCTGTAGCACCACCACCTGTAGCAACAACTGTAGCACCACCACCACCTGCATCACCATTCCCTGTAGCACCATCACCTGTAGCATCAGCAACAGCACCTCCACCACCTGCATCACCACCATCTGTAGCACCATCGCCCATAGCACCACATGCATCATCATTGTCAGCAGCTGGACTGGTTCTAGCCCTTTTCCTCCCCTGTGGGCACTCCTTTGGACTAGCCATGTTCTTTGCCGCAACAGTGGCGTCTCCTCCTGCCTCATCATCAGCTGTCGCTGCTGTGGAATCTTCAGCCTTGTTGGTTGTAGGTGCTGCTGTGCCATCCCGTCTCACCAGCTGTAGCTACTGTGAGATCCCCTGACTTATGGCCTATAGCCGCACCTCCATCCACTTCCATATCATCCGTGACTGTTGCTCTAGGCTTCTGTTGTTCCATCTTTTCTTGTGTATCCTCACCAGATGTAGCAGCTACAGCCATACCCTCATTGGCTGTAGCAGCTACAGCATTAGCCTCGGTTGTCGCATCCACATTTTCACAAGCTGTAGCAGCTACAGGTGTGTCAGAATCCTTTCCTTTGAGGAGCTTGCCAATGCTGGCGTCCACTACATCGATTTCAACACCTGTGATCCCAGCCTCTGGTGAATCAGGTGGTGCGGCTGTAGCTGCTACAGACGCTACTGAGGCACCTGTGATCTCAGCCTCTGGTGAATCAGGTGGTGCGGCTGTAGCTGCTACAGACGCTACTGAGGCACCTGTGATCTCAGCCTCTGGTGAATCAGGTGGTGCGGCTGTAGCTGCTTTGGTCCCAGCCTCTGGTGAATCAGGAGGTGCGGCTGTAGCTGCTGTGGTTTCAGCCTCTGGCGAATCTGTGCCTGCTGGAGATGTGGCTGGGGCTGCTGTGGCTTCAGCCTCATGCGATTTAGGAGAAGCATCTGTAGCAGGTGCCTCTGAGGCAGGTGCATCTGGGGCAGGTGCATCTGTGGCAGGTGCATCTGTAGCAGGTGCATCTGAGGCAGGCGCATCTGTAGCAGGTGCCTTTGTGGGAGGTGCATCTGCAGCAGGTGCATCTGTAGCAGGCGCCTCTGTAGCAGGCGCCTCTGTAGCAGGTGCATCTGTGGCAGGTGCATCTGCACTAGGTGCCTCTGCAGCAGGTGCCTCTGTAGCAGGTGCATCTGTAGCAGGTGCATCTGTAGCAGGTGCATCTGCGGCAGGAGCAGCTGTGGCAGGTGCATCAGCGTCAGCAGGAGCGACGGTAGCAGCACCAGAGTCAGCAGGAGTAGTGGTAGCAGCATCAGCATCAGGAGGAGCAGTGGAGGCAGCACCAGCATCAGCAGTAGTGCCAGCTGCAGGGGAAACAGTGGTGGCAGCACCAGGGAGAGCAGTGGCAGCAGTACCAGCGGCGGTAGCAGCAGGAGTAGAGGAAGCGGCAGCAGAAGAGGCTGCAGCAACAGGTGGGGCACTTTGCTGCTGCTGCTGCTGCTGCTGTGCCTGTTGTTGATCCTCTATCTGCTTCTTCAGCAGCTGCATCTCACTCTGCTGCTGCCATGCAAACCGCTGTGCCTGCTGCAACTGCTCCTCTAGGTGCTGTTTCTGCCACTGCTGCTGGGGAGAAGGTGCCTTAAACTGCTGGTGCTGCAGCTGGTGCTGCAGTTGACCTATGAGCTGCAGCTGCTGCTTGTGCATCTTCTCTAGCTGCTGCAGAAGGGAAGCTCTAAACCCAGAACCACCTGTCTGCTGCTGCTGCTGCTGCTGCTGCTGCTGCTGCTGCTGTTGTTGCTTCTGCTGTTGCTTCTGCTTCTGCTTTCGTTGCTTCTGCTGTTCCTGCTGCTGCTGCTGCTGCTGCTGCTGCTGCTGCTGCTGCCACTGCCCCTGCTGCTGCACTTGCTGCACTAACCGATCCCAATTAGCAGCACCAGCAGCCCGATTACCAGCCGCATTCGCATGACCAGCTACACTCTGACTACCCATACCACTACCACCCGCACCGTTCTGAAACCCAGCGGCAGCAGCGGCAGCAGCAAATGCAGCAGCAGGAGACGCTGCGGCAGCAGCAGCAGGAGCAGAGGGAAAACCAGGAGCAGGAGCAGGACCAGCAGGAGCATTTTTTAAGCCAGCATAGAACTGCGGAGGATAATATGGGGAGAAGTATGGTTGCCCTATAACAGCATTGCCCAGTCCATGGGCGTTAAACTGTCCACTAGTAACGGCACTACCCATTCCACCAGCATTTACCATCCCACCAGCATTCCGCATTACACCAGCACTTATTACACCCAGTAACTGCCCAAAACCAGCACCTCCCACCGCAGCAGCACCACCAGCCAACCCGCCACCAGACCCACCACCGATCCCTCCCCTAGTAGCACCCCCCCACCCAGCACCCCCACCACCACGGGTACCAGCAGCAGCAGTGGCGTTGTAAGCAGCAACGTTGGGGGAGTCACCGCGGGCCACTGAAGCAGCAGCTGCAATAGCGGCAGCAAGAGCAGCAGCAGCCCGTTCATGCGTGACTGAGGCGGGAAGAGGTAAGCCCGCCCCAGATGCAGCCTGCGCCACCAGAGCCAGTGACTGGCCCGGGATAAGTGGGTTGCTCGGATTGCTCGGAATGCCAGTAGCTCCAGCCGACCCTGCTGCACCTGTGCTGCTGCTCCTGAGGCTCCTCCTGACATGCTCTATCCCGTGTCTGTTGCTGTTATCCTGCTCCTCCTCCTCCTCCTCCTCGTTCTCATCATGGTAATCTTCATCCTCATCATCGTCACTCGAGCTGTCCTTTCGTGATCGGCCCTTTCTGCGATGATCTCTTTTCTTCTCCTTCTCCTTCTCTTTCTCCTTCTCCTTCTCTCGCCGTCGCTTCTTCTTCCCTCTCCGTCTATCACCTCCCTTCGCACCTTTCCCCCATCCACCCCCCCTCACCTCCACCACATCATCATCAGACCCGTTCGCCTCCTCTTTGTCATCATCTGTAAGCTCAATCACTTCTGCCGCCCGCTTTCTGCCGCCCGCCTCCCTCACACTCCGTCCTTCATCCCTCCTCTTCCCGTCTCCGTCCCCACTCTCACCGCCTGATCCCGCACCAACCAGCACATGCCAAGCACTCTCAAACGACGCACGCCACCCGCCTGCCTCCGACCCATACTTCTCTCCCTTTCCCCTGTGCCTTTCCCCCTTTGCCCCAGGCCTATCACCCCTCGTTTCCCTCCAGTCACTCCCTCCTCGTCGTCTCTCTTCTCATCTCCGGGCCTTCTCCTCTGCTCTCCTTCTCTTCTTCTCTCTCTTCCGCTCCTTCTCCCGCGCCTTCCTCTCCCTCCTCCCCTCTCGTTCACTAACCACTCCCCCAGCTCCCCATCCCAAATCTCCTCCTGCTCCTGCTCCTGCTCCTACCCCTCCTGCTCCTGCTCCTGCTCCTACCCCTCCTGCTCCTCCAAAACCTAAACCCACACTCCCTCCCACACCCCCTCCCACATCCACTTCCACACCCCCTCCCACGCCCCCTCCGGCACCTCCTCCTGCTGCCTGTGCGGCCAAGAGAGTCAGCAGCAGCAGCATCTGCTGGTTTCCAGCTCCTGAGCCTTGACCTGCAATCGCGCTCACCAGGGCCCCCAGACTGCCTGCACTGCCCAAACCACCACCGCTTACACCAGCACCACCAGCAGCGTTACCAAACCCACCAAAACCACCCGCACCACCAAAACCACCACCCAGAGCACCGGCTATACCACCACCATCAGCACCACCAGCGCCCAGTGCTGCTGCGAGCAGTGCTGCAGCTGCAGCCGCCCCTCCTGCAGCCGGCCCAACACCAGGTGCAGCAGCAGCAGCAGCAGGTTGTGTTTGAGAAGCGAAGCCATACGTGTGGGAGTGGGGCGAATGGCCGGTGTGCTGTGGGGTTACACGCAAGTGGTGTGGGTGGGGCAAGTTGAGCTGCTGGAAATTGAGTGGCGATCCTGCTGTGTCCCAGCCCCCTGCTGTGCCGCCTGCTGTGCCCCCTGCTGTGCCCCCTGCTGTGCCCCCGGCTGTGCCCCCTGCTGTGCCAGTCACACCTGCTTTGCCTACTGTGCGTTTGACACCTGCTGCGCCTGCTACGCCCGCTCCTCTTCCTCCTCCTCCTCCTCCTGTTTTTGCAAAAGCCTGGCTTCTTGTGACTCGAGCACCAGCAGCGACAGCAGCAGCAGCGAGAGAGGTTGTTCCTGTGGGTCTGTCCAGGTAGTTGTCCAGATACGCTGCACGGGGCACAGTGAGGCCGCCTGCCCATGAATCCCCATGAGGTGCAGTGCGGTTGAAAACGGCCGGACCGGCGGGAGAACTGCTGATCCCCCCACCAGCAGCAGCAGCAGCAGCACCAGTAGCAACCGCACGACGACGGCGGGGAGGACGGCAGTCGGCAACAGCAGCATCAGCAATCAAGCTGCCGTCATTCTCATACGCAATGCCGCCTCTTCGGGTGCACTGTTTCAGCCAGTTTGGCCCGAGCACACACCGCATGAGGCTGGAGAGGTCAGGATCATCCGCCCACTTGTCCAGCGCATACCGGTGCGGATCCTGATCAGCACCGATGCAAGGAGAAGCAGCTGCAGCAGCAGCAGCAGCACCACCACCACCACCAGGAGCAGCAGCACCACCACCAGCACCACCAGGAGCAGCAGCAGCAGAAGCGGAAACTTGTATGTCTCCCGAAGGTGTGGCGATTCTCCCTCGTTTCCCACCCCTTGCATGCTCCGATTCCTGCCCTGCTGTCTCCTCGCTCTGCCCTCTCTTCATCCTCCCTTCCCCTCCTCCTCCTCCCACCTCCACCACATCATCATCCTCACTTTCACTCTTGTTTCTCTCATCCTCCTCCTCTTCCTCCTCCTCCCCCTCATCACTCCCCCCATCCTCATACGACTCCTCATCTGACCAATCCCCATCCTCTCCCTCCTCACCCTCCCCACCCTCCACCCTATCCCCATCCGCCCCCTCCACTCGTCCCCCCCCCTCACCCCTCCCCCTCGCCTGGAACCGCCCTACAACCCTCCGCACCCAGGACTCCGAGTAATTAAATCCAGGAGGAGCGTCCAGAGTCGGTCCTAGCTCCTTCGCCATTCCAATTATCATCTCCAGTGTCAGAAAAACAGGAGCGGACAATTGAGGGTTTTGAGAGATCTCAAGAGCAGACGAGCAATGCCGCCTCCTTCTCCCCTCTCCGCCCTTCCCGCCGACCTTTTTCCCACCTCTACCCAGCTCCCCCTCTTTCATCACCAACATCCCATTCCTCACCCTCCCTTTCCTCACCAACTCCGCTGCTCCTATCCCCTCTATCCACTTCCATAGCGCCTCCTCCAGCTTTGCACACCGCCCTATGCCCTTCTCTTTCCTACTCCTCCTCTTTTTCCTTGGTTTATTCTTCATCTCCTCCTCCTTCCCCCGAGGAATCTTCAGCCACCACCAGCTATCCCTCACCACGTACCTCACAGTATCAAACGACACGCGCGCTCTCCAAGCCGGCAGCGCAGCCTTGGCGAGCTCGTGAATGGAGGCTTGGTGCAGGTTCGGCAGGGCGTGGCGCACGAGGCAGAATGCTCGTTTCTGACCCACCGTCAACTCCCTAACCGTGCAGCGCTTCGGATCGGAGGCAGCTTTTCCAGAAGAAGCATCGGAATTTGATGCCTTTTCTGTGGTTCCGGAAGCCAGGGCGACTTGGGAGGAATTGCGGGGTTTCGCAGCCTGGGAAGCCGGAGCAGCTTGGGATGCGTTGAGAAGGTCTGTGGTGTGGGAAGCTGGGGCGGCTTGGGATGACGCTGCAAGGGTCGTGGTGTGGGGCACGGCAGGGGCATCGGGATGGTTGGAAGCGGCAAGGGCGAGAACGATGGGCACAGGGGAAGAGACACCAGCGGGTCCCCTGGGGGCTGCATCATCAGAGCAGCCTCCCTTCTCGGCTGCATCAAGCTCCACTGCGCCTCCTTCTGCTTCTCCTTCTGCTTCTTCTCCTTCACTGCTATCCTCATCCAGTGCTTCCCCCTCCGCTGTGAGGGTCATGACAGCAACAGATTCTGTGGCCGCACTCTGTGGCGCACTGTGTGCTGCATGCCTTAGTTTCTCCGCACCACTACCCTCACCACCACCATGCCCATCATCGCCACCAGCACCAGCAGCAGCACCACCACCATCACCACTATCACCTGCACCACCATCACCATCCCCATCACTAGTACCACCGCCATCACCACCACTATCACCATCCGCATCCCCATCCCCGTCTCCAACCGCCGCAGAACCCTCACGACCACCCTCCCGACTTCCATCCCTTCCTCCCGCCTCCTTCTCCCCCGTTCCCCTCTCGTCGTCTCGCCCCTCCTGCTGCTCGTCCTCCCACCTAACCCTCTTGGTTCCTCTCTTTTTCATTCCTTCTGCAGCTGCAGCATCACTAGGACTGCCGTCACCAGCAGCAGCAGCAGCAGCAGCAGCAGCAGCAGCAGCAGCAGCAGCAGCAGCAGCAGCAGCAGCAGCAGCAGCAGCAGCAGCAGCAGCAGTAGCACCACCATCAACACCACCATCACCACCATCAGCAGCAGCAGCAGTAGCAACAGCAGCAGCACCGCCATCGGCAGCAGCAATACCATCAGCAGCAGCAGCAACAGAACCATCGGCGCCAGTAGCAGCTAAATCAGAAGCTTGCCTCACAACCTCTGGCCCCTCTTCTCCTGCTCTCTCCTCACCTCCCTCCACCGTACCCCTCTCTATTCCCCCATCTTCCCCCTTCTTCCCCTCAGCACCCCCTTCGTCTCCTCCCCCCCCACCATTTCCATCTGTACCAATTCCATCTACCCCCGCTTCTTCAAAAAGCTCATTCAAAATATCCGCCGACCAAGGGCTATTTACCCTTGGGGAAACCCCTTCTCCTGCATCCCCTTGATCAGGCTCAGGGCTACTCACACCACCTCCCGCTTCCCCTTCCCCTTCCCCTTCCCCTTCCCCTTCCCCTTCCCCTTCCCTTCCCCTTCCCTTTCCCCGTCCCCGTCTTTTTCTCCGCCCTCCCCTTCTCCTTCTGTTTCTGTACCCCTTACAGCACGTCCCACTACTGTACCCGCGCCTCCTGCCCCTGCCGACTCACATAACACCTGCCTAGCAGCCCGATTTGCTGTTCGCATCTGCAGGTTTACAAAACTAACTAATCCACCATCCCTCTCCCTTCCCGCACCACCATCCCCCTCTTCCTCCCCCCCCTCCTCCTCGCCTCCCAACTCCCCTCCCTCCCTGTCCTCATCCCCCTGCCCTTCCTCCTCTCCCCCAGACCCCCTATCAACCCCTTGCCTTCTTCCCTCGCTGGCCCACATATCACTCTCTGTCTGGCCTCCTCCTTCTCCCCCCCTTCCTCCACCTCCTCCTCCTCCTCGTCCTCCTCCTCCCCCTCCTCCTCCCCTTCCTCCTCCTGCCCCTCGCCCTCCGAATTCTCTCTCAAACCAGTCCTCATCATCACCGTCGCCTCCCTCTCCTCCCGCGCCCCCCTCATCCTCGTTATCAGCTTCCTTGGTACTAGTCTCCGACAGCAGCAGCAGCCCAAACCTCTTCATAAACCTTGTAGCCCACGACCTGCCATACTTGAAATTCGGCCGCACCTTATACCCCGGCCCAATCTCCTTCGCCTTTGCTATAATCTCCTCTATAGTCACCTCCCTCTTCTCCGTCTCCTCCTCTTTAATCACCCACTCCGCTAAAGCTTCCTCCATTCGGGACTGGTCAGGATCTGAGACCACTCCTGCAGCCAACCTAAACCACTTATCGCTCTCCTCCGCAATCTTCCTTATCGCCCTCGGGGTCATTTCGACCCCGTACTTAGCCCTGATGGCAGCAGCAATCACTTTATTCTCTAAGTGCGGCCGAGCGTGCTTAACCACAGCAATCTCGTACCGAAGCTGGAGCTCAAACGGGATCTCGTTCCGAACCAAAGGACGCTTCGGCTTGGGCTTCTCCGAGCCTGGCTTCTCCGAACCTGGGCTCCCGCCTCGGTCCAACCCATCAGCACTACCTTCCCCCAAACCTGCTCCGCTGCTCCCACCATCATTCCCCAAACCTTCACCTCCCGGCCTACTAATCTCCTCGCCTTTCTTATTCAACCCGTTCTCTTCCAGAACCTTCTGAATCCAATCATTGCTGTACTTAAAGACGTCAGGCACACCAAACGACGGTCCTAATGTCATCGCATAATCCCGCATATCCCTGACCGAAAGCTGCTTCTTAACCCCTTTAATTATTCTCATCGGGTCGCGTTCCTGCTCACGCTTCCTCTCGCGCACCCACTGCACCAGCGTCTCCTCCAGCGGCGGGTTCTTATAACGCGTACGCCGCCACCTGGTCCAGTCGCTCTGAACTGACCGGTCTACAGTGGACCGCAATATAATCATCTCCACCTGCGATTCTTTCACTGGCACTCCGTACAGCTTCGAAACCGCGCGCGCGATATGCGCGCTGGTGAGCACGGGGTGAGCCTGCTTCAGAGCGACTATCTCTTGCTGCAGCTTCTGGTCTATCACATTCCGGTGGTGTGGCTTCTTCGCCACCCGAGGCTTGGATGCCGAACCACCTGCAGAGTCGCCCGTCGCCGAGCCTATTGCTGGTTCGGACGCTGAGGCACCTGCAGGTCGGGGTTGCGCCGCAGGAGGATCTTCTGAGCTTGTTGCCGCTGCTGCTGACGTGGAACCTGGCTGTTGCTGCTGCTGTTGCTGAGCAGGTGAACGAGAGGGACTGGAGGGACTGGCTTGGGACGGATTCGTCTGCTCCTGAGGAGAACGAGCCTCCTCCTGCCTGCCTGCTGCCTGCAATTCCTCTCCGGCCGCCTCGCCATCACCGCTGGAGTCTGAAATCGTTCTCGCCTCGAGCATCTCGAGAGTAATGGAGTTCTTTTTTCTTTTTTTCCCTTTTTCTGGAGCAGCCCGTCCTCGTTACTCTGCAAAGGTCCGACGATTGGCGCTATCGCACGGTCGGCGATGCTGCACCGTTGCCGCTATCGCACAGTCGGCGCTATCGCGCCGTTGCCGTTATCGCACAACAGGCACTATCGCACGGTCGCGCTACTGCACTGTCGCTGGAGTCGCCACGACGGTAAATGTACTACGAAGGAGAGAAATCTGGTGGTCGCACTACAATTAACAAAACCAGTTCTTCTCAACCGCCGGAGACATTGAGTTATGGCGAACTAAAAAAATGCGTTATGGCGAACTAAAAAAATAATCTAATTGCCAACATTCGCGCGTGGCAAACTCCAAACGCGTGCATCACTTCCTGAAAAATCGTAACGAAGCCCGCTCATTCGTTAACCTCTGTTTAGTCCACTCAGAGATTGCTTACTGAATAACCGTAAGGAAGCGGCTCCCCAGACGGCCCAAAGCCGTCATTTACATTACTAAGGGGCTGGCTGCAAAATTCTAGATTTTGCAAGATAAATCAACAGCCGCGGGTGCCACAGTTTCTCCCGAATCGCAGTTCCTATCACCTCGAACGTGGCTCAAAAAGTGGAGTCGAAAATGCCAGCGGCGGCTTGAGGATTATTCAAACAGGGTCCGCCCGCCTACGTGGAACTGAAACACTAAGCTCGGCTTTCAATGTTCGCCTGAATGGCAGTGTGACCCTCTGAGCAGGAATGCTGGCTATTGCCGCTTGCTGCATAACAGAATGTTGGTGGCAAATCTGATGGCTCTTTCTTCCTGCTTGCCACCTCTTCAGCAGGCGATGATCTCGAGGTGAGGCCAACATGAAACCCTCATTCCAAACACTGCAAAACGAATCGACGGTCAGGAGAGCTCGAATTCTGTCAAAGACGACATCGACAGCTGAGAGAATGCTCTGGTGTTATTGGAGCTGACGCAATTCCCTGAGGTTCTAACAAAACGACGAGACTTTGCGAAGATGTGGAAGCGTCAGGAGATTGCAATTGACAGGCCAGAAATCAAGCCCCATCTCATTCCCGTGGATAAAGAGGCGAATGTAGTGTATACGTGGACGTAATTTGTACAGCTCATGATTTGACGCTCAATTTATAGCACAAAGGCACAAAACATTCACATTCACTCACCTATATACACATGTACGCACGCACACGCGCGTGCGCTGTTGTAAGCGAACTCTATCAGCGGCAAATGCTGCTCCTAGGTTGTCGGGTCGTCGCACATGGTACGAATCAGCTGCTCCAAGTTCTGGTTAGTCCTCTCCGTTCGGCCGTCGGTCTCGGTGTGGTACGATGAGTTGAACTGTAGCCGGGTCCTGAATTGCTCCCATAAATTCTTCCAGATTTTGCTGGTGAACTTCGTGTCGCGGCCGCTGATGATCGCGTCTGGTATCCCGTGCAGGCGAATGACCGTCGCGATGAACAGGCAAGCGCTTCTTCGGCTGAAATCGGTTTCATGCACGCAGCGAAGTGAGCCATTTTCGCCAATCGGTCAACGTTAACCATGACAGCGTTGTTAACACCAGGGCTAGAAGGTAACCCCATGAGGAAATCCATAGTAACTTGCTGCCATGCGCACTCGGGCGGCTAAATCGGCTGCTGATGACCCGCCTTTTTCTTGCACTAACTCTTCATCACCTGACACGTAGGGCACGACCTACCAGCGAGGCAGTTCATTTCACTATGTCGGGGACGAACCGACACGCGTAGTTGACAAACCCCATAAAACATTGCAACTCGGTCAAATTGGTCGGCGCGTGCCAGGCTTGATTCGTCGCGATCTTCTGCGGGTCTATTTCCACGCCGTTGGCCGAAATAACGTGACCTAAAAACTCAGTCTGTCCTCTAGAAACTCATACATAGAGGCCTTTGCCAGTAAGTCATTTTCACTCAGTAATTAAAAAATGTTAGAATCTAGAAGGAACGAATGAATGAACTAGCAAGCAGGTGGGTACAAGTAGGAAACCTAAAAGTGTTGTTCACTATATGAACTACCCCACTACAGCCTAGATAGACTATAGCATATAAGTTTGACACACCCCCATAGGCAAAGTGGGGGAGAACAAGAGGTCACAAGACCAGTCAAGAAAGGCAAAGCAAGCTCAGGGTGGATCACAAAGTCACCACGCTGTCTGAGCACAAGCAAATGGCCACAAGGCCTGTTCACATACAGAGTTATATAAGGGAGAACAAACAATACAGTGAACACAACCTAGCAAGTGTAAGCATGCAGGTATATGTATAGAAAGTACAGTACAAGCAGAGTCAAGAAGTAAGCAAGTGAGGCACAGTAGGTACAAGGCCTAGAACAGTACAGAAACGCTGATGATCACAAGGCTGAAGTGCCTTGGTGAAAACATCAGCAGTGTTGGCCCGAGAGGCCACGTAAGCAAGACGAAGCTGACCACGCTGCTGCAACTCTCGAGCAAGGAAGTAGCGCAGAGCAACGTGCTTCGTTCTGTGCTCCAGTCTGTGCTCCTGACACAAGGCAATCATGGCCTTGTTGTCGACGTACAGAACTGGAGGAGAACGAGGCGCCTCTCCCAAGTCGGTCAGCAGGTAGGTGAGCCAGCGTAACTCCTGTGCAGCCATGGCCCCAGCGTAGATCTCAGCCTCACAACAGGAGCTGAGAACAGAAGAAGAGCGGGTAGACCGCCAAGAGACAAAACCGGAGCCAAGACTGAAGGTGGAACCCTGTGACGACCGCTGCGTAGCCAAGTCGTCAACCCAGGAAGCGTCTGCATGACCAGTGCGGACAACTCGAGCCCGTCCTCCAAGCACGAGCCCCATGCCTGAAGTACTGCACAAGTAGCGCAACACCCTCTTCGCAGCATCCCAGTGCACCTTTCGGTGCCTACCGGGAGCCACGTAGCGAGCCAAAAGGCTGAGAGGATATGCGAGGTCAGGTCGTGTGCAAGTCATCAGGTACATGAGGCAGCCCACAAGCTATGGATACGGGCCACTCGGCTCTACGGACTCGTCCGAAGGTGGAGCTGAGAGCGAGTGACCGGTAGGCAGAGGAGTGGACTGTGGCGAGGAGTAGGTGAAGCCGAAGCGCTGAAGGACCTGCTGCACCATGTGTGACTGAGTCAAGGTAATGGTGCGCTGTGCTCTGTCCCGGGTGATCCGCAAGCCAAGATAGCTTGTCAACTCACCCAGGTCTGTGCACGTGTGTCTCTTCTGCAGCTCGGACTTCACGTGGGCGAGTGCCTCAGTGTCAGCAGTAGCAAAGACCAAGTCGTCCACGTACACGAGAACGTAGAACGGCGGCAGAGTGGTGTCAGTGCGTAAAAACAGCGATAGGTCAGCAGTGGAAGGAGCAAAACCAAGAGCAGCAAGAGTCGTCCTCACTGTGTCGTGCCACTCACGGGGTGCCTGGCAGAGATCGTAGACTGGCCGCCGGAGGCTCCACTGGGTACCAGCAGGAAACGACCCAGTGAAGCCAGGTGGGCGGCGCAGCCAGATCTCCTCGTGCAGGCTGCCCTGTAGGAAGGCTGTGCTGAAGTCAAGCGAGTGTAGCTCGTAGTCACGCTGAGCGGCGACGTGTAGTAGCACCCGAAGAGTAGTCATCTTCGGGGTAGGGGAGAAGGTCTGGAAGAAGTCAACTCCCTGTCGCTGACTGAAGCCACGTGCAACGTAACGCGCCTTGAAGACAGGCGGAGAACCCGGCGGCCGCTTCACCCTGAAGATCCACATGCCACTGACGATGTTCGCCCCAGGCGGGGGAACCTCGTCGACGTAGGTGCCTGTGGACTTCCAGGAAGCCATCTCGGCGTCCATGGCTGCCTGCCACTGAGAGGAGTAGGGACCCTCTATCGCCTCTGCGTAAGAGCGCGGGGTCGGGATGTCTGGTGCATCCGGGTCTCCCTCAGGGGCAAGCAGCATGGACACGAGATGAGGTAAAGCAGCGGCAAAGCACTCAAACTCCTCCTGTCTGTCCTCAAGAACGTCCGTGCCAAGAGCACACTCACCCCCGACGGACGGAGGACAGATAGACGTAGACGCAGACTCAGCAACAAGACTAGTGGCGTAGTCTAGGCGACAGGCTGAAGCAAAGTCAACAAGCTCAGCAACGAGAGCAGACGCAGCAGTGGACTCAAACAAAGGGTCAGTGACAGCAGTAGCCAGAAAGCGCGTGACAGCAGGACTAGCAGTACGAAGGGAGTCAGACTCAGGGTCCGGACCGTCAGGAAGAGAGGACGCAGGAGGAGACGGCAGAGGGACACGCTGTGGAGCCGTGGAAGGACGCAGTGTCATAGAGTGAGTGCCAGGGACAGGAGGAGGACACAAACGCGAAACACGACGACCAGCGCGAACAGTGCGGACAGGCGACGCAGAACGAGACTCAGGTGACGCAGGACGCGACTCAGGCTCACGACGCTCCGTAAGACCTCTATTCGGTCCAGAGTAAGGAGAAGGACGAGACATTGGAGAGGCCGGCTGTAACAGCGACTGGGACTGGACAGGCGGTGGACTCAGTAAAGGAGGAGTAGGACCAGGAGAAGGCGGGAGACCAAGAACTTGCTGAAGGAGCGGAACGTAGTACGGCCGCGACCGCGCAACGCCTCCAGAAACAGCAGAGACAGCACCGGCACCCTCAGCCCTAGGGTCTCCAGCTACAACTCCTGCAGCACCACCAGTCCCAGCAGCTCCAGTACCTCCAGTACGAGCACCTCTAGGACCAGCTGCTACAGCACCTCCAGCAGCTCCAGAACCACCAGGACCTCCAACAGCACCAGTACCACCAGCAGCTCCAGCAGCTCCAGCACCAGCAGCACCTCCAGCAGCTCCAGCACCAGCAGCACCTCCAGCAGCTCCAGCACCAGTAGCACCTCCAGCAGCACCAGCAGCACCTCCAGCAGCTCCTGCACCAGCAGCACCTCCAGCAGGTCCAGCACCAGTAGCACCTCCAGCAGCTCCTGCAGCACCTCCAGCAGC